GGTGAAAAATAGCAGGAGGGAACGCAATGTCTGCCACTTTCAGCTGCTGTACTGAAGGTGGGATATAAACTTAATAATTAATTAATTAATTGGAGCCAGGGCTTCCATGCTATTTCAAAGCTCTCTGACAATCAAGCTGAAAATGTAAACTCATTACAAATATCATTAATGCATTTATCCAATATAATCCTCTTTCCTTCCTACCTAAATATGCCCTCTGGTTTCTCCTCTTCTCCTTAATTTTATTTAGGAGAGATGCTGACAATGAATCCACTTTCCCTGTTCAATCCGATTGCAATTATTCTCTAGAGGAGCCAGATGGGGGAGGAACCAGGGAGCATCTCTGGCATCTCATTGATTTAAAGTGATGCTGAAGTTAACGCCAGAAATGTACAGATAACCTAAAATGGAGAAAGCAAACAGCCTCAGCCTGCAACTTCGAGAGTTGGTGACCCAGGCAGTCCCTCTGAAGGTCCACGAGGATTCCTTCTCTTACAAGGTAATTTCTTTTACCCTAAAATTTTCATTTCTGAGATCCACCCAAGGGGCCTGAGGTAGCACAAGAAGAGGATAGCTCAGAAACATTGAACGGGGAGCAGTTGCTGGGGAAAGAGTCATGTATACGAGATGGGTGGCCATATAAATTTACTAAATAAATAAAAGAATCAAGTAATGCAGCCTGTTTTGTTTTGTTTATAGGACCAGCTAAACAAAATTAAAATATTTCTCATTGCATTCTGAATGTGAAACATGGAGAAGTCTGCCTAGCCAGGAAACATTGATCTTTATAGGTGATTAAACCCTTGGAGGTTGTCATATCTGTTGTATTTAGTTTTTCCAATTTCTTGGCAGTTCAGTTTTTGGACCAAATTGCCTTTCAATCTAAACATTTCAAATGCTCTCTGAAATGATTTGGATCAGGCAGGCCTTCTTTCCTGAAATGCACATTTTCTGAAAACCAAAGGGGCATGAAAAGTGAACCCAAACCAAAATATAGTGGTGTGCCTTTTATTTAATATTTATTTAATATGGGAGACAACCAGGAAATCCCAGGAGCTGTTGGCTAGATTGGGACGTTGAAAAAATACCCTAGAAGACAGCAGCAAACAGGATTGCTGAGGCAATTACACGGACATGTTTGTGAACGTATCTGGAGTCCATCTTGTTTTGAGGTCATTGATACGCTTATTTTTACCTGTTTTCACATAAATGCCTATCTCTTGCCCAAAGAGATAGAGACTGGGAGACCTTTTTTTCTGTTTGTTTCTCATAATGTTTATTTTACTCAGAATCTGTTGAGAAGCACTTTTGGCAATTTGAGTAGGCCCATCAACTCTACAACTGCACTAGAGAGGAGAGACGACAGCCTCATGTTGAAGCCTTGACCGATGAGCTAATCTGAGCCGCACAGAGGGGGGTGGGGGGAGCAAGGGGAGACATGCAATATCAGCATGATGGAGATATTCCCCTAATTCAGAGCTGGGCAAGCTGCAGCTTGCAGTATTTAGGCAACTTTTCAACGTGCTGCCCAAATTCAGCGGTAAAGTTGCCAAAGGTCAGCTGTTTTGAGAGGTGAAGGTTGAGGGCCGGAAGCATTTTGCCTCCCAAAAGGCTTTTGCTCCCATTCCTCTCCAAAAATCCTGGGAAAAGGTAGACTGAAAAATTGTTCTACTCTCTAAAAACAAAGGGAGATGACCTTCACAGAAAGATGCAAGAATCATTACCTAGGCAAAGGGGGCTGAAGCATTCTTTAAGCTCTGGGAAACAAGATAATATTCGAAAGCAGCTGAGGTAGACACCTCCCTGATTCACTGAAGTATAAGAAGGAGGGGAGGTACACACAAGCAGATTCTGTTATCATAGCCAATCTCAATAAGTTCTGGTCTTCCTGTGGAGTTGATTTTTTGGTCTGGTCTACCTAATGGGGCTGACCTGCCCTTCCAATAATGTTATAATATCATCCAATAGTCTCCTGTAACCTTTTGGAAGGTCAGAAAGGTGACTTTTGGCCTCCAACCATCTATTCCATTCCACACTCAGGTAGGGAACAGAGGTTTATCCATGTCCTTTCATACTTCCAGAGTGTTTGGACCAGCCCAGAAATGCTGTGAGACTGGGGGGTAATATCTCACGTGTATCCCTGCTCCAGAGCTGGGAGGAAATCAGCCTTCAGCATGCCAACCAGAAGGAAGTAGCCTTGCTATAGCAACTGACGCAATGGGTGATTCCTTTTTTGTGCTTCATTTTTAAGTCTGGATTTAGGACCTCTAAGCCAAGGGCTAAGCAGCAAAGGATTCCTAGCCAGTGTAAATTTTTTTCTTTAATGTCCTAAATTGAAAGTCGTCAGCCTGGTTTTCCTTCCTGGTATGTTCAACTACAACTCCCACAGGCCCTTGCATTTGATCATGCTTGCTTAGGTTAATGGGGATTGATGTCCAAAGCATATGGATGGCATGTGCATGAGACACAAACAAGCATTACCTGTTCTGTCCAAAACTAGCATCTAAATGTTTGGATTACAGGGGTGCTTTTGGTCTTAGAATTCTTGCCCACATGAGTTTGGAAACGTGTGGACCAGCTTCCTCCAACCCAGTATCCTTCACTGGGTTGAACTTGGGCTTGATAGCAGTTCAGGCCCACTCAACGTATCTTTGAGAGCATCAGGTTGGAAAAAGCTGACGTGGATTTTATGTTTGCCTGGACAATTACATGCTGCTTACAGGATTGTTATCCAAAGATCTTCATAACAATCTTGAAACAACCTCGTTTGACTGGTCTGGCAGCCATGGGAGTGAATAGAAAGTTTTGCTTGTCCAGGGGAGCTGATGTTTTTTTCTGGGCCATTGTGTGTTCAGTTGTATTCCTTAGTCTATGTTCTCTCACAACATCTCTGCAACTTGTTTCATGCCTCACACAAAGCTGTGGTTAATCTAAATGTCATTTGCTGAATAGGCTATTATCGGTTGGGGTCCCCCATTATACTAAGCCATAAATGCACAAGGTACTTAAGTGTGAACCCCTGAACATTCCCCCCAGGGAATCTACATATGCCAGTTGCCATCAACAAATCATTTTCCTGCTATCTCCACTGATAAATATTGTGTGTGAGAGAGAGAGAGAGAGAGTGAGAGAAGAGAGAAAAAAGATAGAATATCTTTGGAAAAAAATGGAGTAGAAGTTTGCATGTCATAGAAAATATGCAAACCATCACATCCAAATTCTGCCAAATCATTTCAGATCAGCTGTGGTGATTGTTTAAATTGTTCCAGGTTTCGAATTAAGCAAAGTCTAGAGAGATCCCAGATTGATTTTATGGAACAAGTATGATAAAGTTGGGCAGATCTCCCCCTTCCACTCAACAGATCCTGGCATGGCCCTTTGAGAGAGGCCAGGTCAGGAAACAGATCCCACAAGAAATACTAGAACTCTGCTTTACTGATAGAGGCTATAATAACAGAATCTTGAAAGCCTGACAGGATTTCCCCTTCTCTCCTTTTTATACCAAGAGAGTCAAGGCAGGACAATCTTGAGTTTCTTTCTCACATGTTCCTGTTTTCCCAGACTAAGCTTGTGTTTTGCTAATGGATGCCATATACCTTCTCCAAGATCATCCCTGTGCTCCTCTACACTATCCCACCAGCCTACCTGCCCCAGATTTTTCCAAGGCTTTTCCTTCTTTCTCCTGCTAATTGCCACCATTGATGCAAGGTCTGGGTACGTCCTCCTTCCCCAGTTATGACCGTACTGTAGTCATTGTTTCTCAATATGGCAGATCAAACCGGCTCCAATTGAACAGTTAAATAACTAAATGACTTAAATCTGGTGATACTTATTATGGACTAATTTAATCCCATTTTTTTCTTCCCCACCCATTTTGAACATCTTGGGGGTGCCTGTCCCTCTTTTTGCAGAGCAGGTCCTGACCTGTTCAAAGGTGGGTATAGCCCTTAGTCCATCAAAGGTTGTGGACTTCCATCCTAAGTCATAAACTATGGTTTACAAGCTAGAAAGGCAGCATGTGGAGTGGTGAAACATAACCCACCTATATGTTCTTGGAACTCTACAGCTGATTTCACCCCATTGCTTTGGTTGGCAACTTACTTTGGGTCTTGTTTGGCGCACAAGGATAAGCTTAATTTAGTAGGGCAAATACACCTTCTCTGTCAAGTACAATATGTCTGTCTCACATCTACAGGAGCTGCATGTTTAATATCTGCGTTTTTTCTCTGCAGGAAAATCTGATTGGTGCCTTGCTGGCTATTTTTGGGCACCTCACAATCAGCATTGCTCTCAACCTCCAGGTGAGTTGAGAGAAAGAAAAAGAGGATTCCAGAGCCGACAAGGTAGATGGCCAATGGGTCTTCTCATTCTCCGTTGTCTTCCCCTAGAAATACAGCCATATCCGGTTGGTGAGTTGCAAAGAGTCTAAGGCTTACTTTAAGACCAAGACGTGGTGGTGTGGTTTGTTCCTGCTCTGCCTGGGAGAATTGGGGGTCTTCTCTGCCTACGCTTTTGCCCCCCTGTCCCTGATAGTGCCTCTGGGGGCAGTATCTGTCATAGGTAAGTCCCTCAACATGTCAGCTCTTCAAGGTAGACCAGACTAGGAATCTAGAGTCATGACTTTTATTATTATTTTTTTTATTTATTTATTCGTTCAATGTATATAGCCACCCAGTTCACATATGTGGCTCTAGGCAGCTCACAACTAAAAAAAAAAAATAAACAATTACAAATAAGCAACTAAAATGAAAACCGTTAAAAAACCAATTGAAACAGTTAATACTTTATTTGCAGGAAAGTACAATCCATACAATAACTAACAATACAGCCAGTTTTAATTATAAGGTTATAGGAACAGAATCTTGCAAATCTGAATGCAGCTTCCCCCTCCCTTCCTTTATCTTCCTGAGAACTAGGGAGGGGCTTGTCTGAGATGCTTACTCAGGTTACAGTTCTGGCCTGGACTCTTGTTTCTTTTATCCATCTTGGTTGCTGCTTTTCCTCCTGTTCCTCAAGGTTATTCCTTCTGCCCATTGCAGTACAAGATGGACTTGTGCCTACAGACTCCTCCCATGGTGCTGTGTGATTTATGCACAATGATTTTGTAAAGTGCATAGAATATAGAAAAATGCAATGGTTGGTAGTCTATATCAATTATTTGCTTTGTAGCATCCTTCCCTCACCTCCTATGTAAGCAAGGTCAGATTGCCACGCAAGTAGCAAATCTTCATGACACTAAGCAAGACCCACATTTTTTAATCCTCCAGGACCTACAGGAAGCTTTGATCTGTAGGTCAGCTGTCCTCTGGTTATACTGATTTACTCAAGAATAAGAGAGAACCACCCCCCCGCAACATTCAGAGTCACACTGTTGTAGTAACACAAAAGGATAATTTACAGAGCATCCATGTCTTTGATGTAATTTACTGGGTATCTGTGCCTTTGATGAACGGATGGGTTGTGACTTCTCTGCTGTGGACAACCAGATAACCCAGTTCGAAAAGAATAACACCCTCTACTTCCTTATCTTGCTGATGGTAAATACAATGCAATGAGATGGAACCTATATTAAATCTATGTTGCTCTGAAATTG